AGCCTTTGGCTGAGCATTGTGTAGGTTTGGTTTGGGTTTTTTAGATGAATCCATGACTAATTTTTTGTGTGCTATCTTTCATATCACTGTGTTTCAGTGGGCAAATGCTGTCATAATTTCTTGAGAAGTTTGCATTTTTTATCAGAAGAGCCTATTTTCATATTTTAATTACATTTTTTTCCAATGAACTAGGGTGAAGTTGGGGACAAGGGAGATACAGGGGAACGTGGACTAAAAGGATATAGAGGCAGAATGGTAAGTACCTTATCGGTGTTGTTCTTTAATGGATTTTTAAAATAGGCTTCTCCTTGATATGCTGATTGCACACTTGTTTTGATTTTTAGATATTATGTCTGTCATTTTCAAAGTCTGCTGATGCTGGCCGAGCTCTGCCTCTGTGTTATGTCACATTAAATAGAAGCAATGACCATTTCTGAGTGACCTACTTACTGTTCCAGTTCACTTTCCCTTTGTGCCTTTTAGATAAAAACCTGCTGTAGAAGAAATTTGCTGGTTTAAGAGCATTGTGGTGATCCCATTTATTCCCCATTAACTTCTTTGTCCCGATTTTACTGGCTTCTTGTGTGTTTCTTTCTCCCTTTTCCCCTCAAGCTTTTCCATGGCTGAATTTTAACTTCACATCTCACCTGCTGTGACAGAGGTTAACAAGGGCTGGCTGCTTCCTATGGAAAGGAGAGCTGGTGACTCTGAGTGGTAGCAAAGCAGGAAGAGTTCAGTCCCACTGGACTGTTTTTAATCTATTTTTACTTTAAAAGCACTACTTTTCCAAAAATGGTAGAAATTAAACAAGGTTCTTGCCACCAAAATCAAAGATGTGCATATGCTAATTTTATTTTGAGATTTGTGCTTCTAAGTGGGCTTTGAACATACTGGATAAATAACACACTTAACAAAAATGAGCTGAACTACTAGGATAAAATGTGTGCTTTGGTGCTATCCAGGTTAATTACGTCTTAGAAGTGAAAATGTCAGATCTGATGCTCTTCTTTCTTACTTCCCATTTACACTTAAGTCAGTGGAACTTAAGCATGTAGCAAATAAATTAAGAAGGAAATCTGTTGCTTTCCAACAGAAGATGTAAATTTATGTTCTCTGTGTATGTTCAAATACCACATATGTAGTATGCTGCTTTTCATAGGGTATTTCAGGACATCCTGGTCTGGAAGGCAGTCCAGGAGACAGGGGATCTCCAGGACGCAGGGTAAGACCTAAACTTCATGTATGTTGCTGGTACTGGGAAATATGTTTTTTCTTTTTAATTTTGAAGGGAAACTAAGGGATGAAGCGAAACACTTTCTCCCTGTTATGGTGGTCTGGAGTGGTAGTATGTGAAATGTTCTGATGGTTCTGATGACTGCCATTGATGTGTTCAGCATGTGCATGCAAACAGCATTAAACACTTCATTAAGTAAAAAAGATTCTGAATTCGTATATATGTAAGCACAAATCAGGTACTTCTGAATGCAAATACCTAACTGTATACCTATAAATGTAATCTTCATAAGTCACTATCTAAATGCCTAGCTCATGAATGTTTGAAAAGTGTACCTGACTCATACTTTGAGCCTCTCCTTTTAACTAATGCAAAGGACAATGCTTGCTGTATTTTTCAGCTGTCAGTAGCACAGTGAATTTTGCAATTATGTGTTTCTAACAAATCCTTTAAAAACACCACTGTGGGAGTTCATTTGTGTGTATCTTAAGTCTCAAATGAAAGAGGCTCACTTTAGTAATATTTATTTCCTCTTTGACTTTCAGCTTTGCAAATTCAACATGGCATGAAAGAGAGATTGAGTTCATTTTTCCCTCATTAATTGTTACCACTGCTAAGAACTATGCAGCTCATGCTAAGCCAATAGTTTCCATGTACATCTTTGTCAGATATGAAATGATATACTGTGAATTTCTTATAGCTTCAAAATAGGATCATAGCTGATATTAGTTGCAACAGCAATGTACAAAAATTCCTTCAAGTACTAGAGGTCTGTCCTTGCAAACAAAAATACTGATCTTTTCTCACCCTTTCTGAAATAAAAATGTACACAGATAACAGGTAGTAGAAGCCTTCAGTTCTGCTGTAGACTTTCAATACACCCAAATCATGGTGTAGACATTAAATAAAATATATAAAAGCGTGTAATGCAATCAGCCCTTGGCTGTGGTCTTTTTTTTCCCTGTGATTAGTAAAATACTTGAGCAATTAGGTGAGATGAAGTTAACATTGTAATAATTTTTTTTTTAATTAGGGGAGTAAAGGACTGAACGGACGAGCCTTATTTTCTGTACGTATCTCTAGCTCACTCCAAGTTACAAACACACACAATGCACCATCTCATGGGGTAGTCATGTGTTCATGTATGTCTTTTCGTTCTTGTCCACAGCCATGTGAACTCATTGACTATGTCCGCAAACACAGTGGTAAGTGTTCAATCATGTTTTGATATTGTAAGCCCAAGTATCACCACTTACTTTCTTTCCTTTCATATGAGTATCACATTAGTTCTCTGTTCAGCGTGGTTGTGAGTTTATGGTCTTAGTAGGCAGGTGCTTGAAAAATGAAGTTAGGGCTTAGAATGCAAATTTGTTGTTGTTGTTGTTGAGAATAATTTCCTTTGCCAAAGTTACTGTAAAATAATTTCTTGGAAATGTTGTGTCTTGGTAGCCAGTAGTTCCAGTTACCATGAAGTAAGTTTCCATTATTTTTTCCTAGTCTATCTATCCAAATTCCTTAGAAAGTGACAGTGCCAAATAGTGGGAGTTTCTACAATTAATGGTATATTTATATCTCTAAACTCTGGTGGTAACTCCTTAATGAAAATGTTTGGTCTAGAAGAGGGCCGGGTCCTGCTTTTCCTTTTACTCCATTCTCTAGTAAAACCAGAGTTTTGCAAGCATACATTTCAGTGGAATACAATACTGCATGCATCCTAAGTCAGTGAAAGTCTTAAATTCTGTAGAACTATGGAAACTAAATTTGGTGTATGTATGTTCCACCAATGATTTCAGCTTTTACTTTTAAAACTTTTCAGATGCAAAATTATTCAATTAAACTTTCTTTTTCTCTTTCTTTAGCTTGTTGGGATGGTGAGTACTGCTTACTCTTACGTTACTGTTACTAGACATGCAGAATGTTGGTGTCCATTTGTCAAACTGACCTAGCAGAGATCTCATAAGCTGTGAACTACTTTGCTTCTGTAGTATCAGGGTCCACTCAACCAAACTTTCTGAGTTGTGTGTTCCCTTCACAGGAGTTAAATCCTACATTGAGAGTCAGTTGTTTACTGATCTGGAGCTTTAGTTTGTTAATCCAAGTATAGGATGGGATATATCCCCTTTTAATTTAGCGATCTTAAATGTAAATGTTTAGTCACCAGGTGCTTCCTCTGCAGTCTGTCTCTCTGCACTAACAACTCAATGAGACTAAGCATGTCTATATTCATAGCTGTGGCAGGTGTTCTTAATTGAAACCATCAGATATTATTTGGCCATCACTAGCTCAGTTTCAGATATTACATCTCTCTGGTTGGTTATAGTGAGCGTAAGCAAAATTAGGGCTTCATAGTTTCTGTATGCTCTAAGGTATACACACTATAACACAGATATTTCTCCTACTATGCTTATATGCTTTTGCTTTCTAGATAAGTTCTACTCCTTTTCTGAAAGTGGAGTAGCATGGCATAGAAATGCTAAGCCTAGGAGATCAGAGCAGAGAGTTGAAGTCTCTGAAGTCCTAGAACAGATATGCTGAGCCATTTAGCATATCTGCTTCCTTCTTCCTCCAAAAAGAAATGTTATTTACTTGTCAGTCTTACCTTCTTTTTTTTTGACATTTTCATCATTAATTATCCATTATCCACTTAGCTTGCTGTTCTGTAAAACTTCTCGAAAGCTCAGATTTGTTTACTTGTGATAACTTTCTCCTGGGTATGCTTGACTGCTATGAGTTTCAAAATGTTTCCATGCCTAAATGTTTCTGATACCAGTTATATATAGGAAATTATAATGGAATTTTTGTCCTACACTGAATTTGGCTGGAATAGTGAGTCAGTAATCTCCATTCATGATAAATGATCTTGTTATTACTGCTACACATTGTGGGTTTTAAATTACATTTTTCTTCATGTTGGAACAGATTCTTTTTCTCAACACAGTGTCTGCTTTTAGATGTAATATCGTGGGTGGAGTAATTACAAGATGAAATGTATTTCACTCCAGGAATGTCACATGCATCATCAAATCTTAACGGTGCTCCTAAGGATAATTCGGTAATGATAGCATCGAATCAGTATCTGAGCAGCACAGCAGTACCTAAGTTAGTGTAGGCCCACACTGTGCCTAAGAGAAGCTGTAAGAGGGAATATTGTGTGCTGGAAATACAGGATGCTTCTATGCAACCCTATACAAACAAGCTTGCTCTGAGGTTCTGGGAGATATGGGGGGGTGTAGGTTCTGTCTCTGCAGGCACACCCAGCAAGGTGGGCACAGACCGCAGCAGACTTGCACCCACTGGTTCAGAGTGCAGGTGAATGTGGAGGCTGTCAGAATTTGGACAAAACCCAAGATAATTTCTACTCTTGGCCCTGCTGTTATTCTGCTTAGGTGATGCTGGAAATGTCACTTTTACTTGCTTGTGCTGCAGTTTCTCCATCTGTAAAATAGTGACAATACAATTTATGCCACACTTCAGTATAAGTTCGACAGATTTTTTTTTTCTGGCTCCCTCTTTTTCTTTTTGCATGTATCAAGTGCAGGATGTAGTTTAGCATTGTATCATTTTATGTTTTATGCGCATCACTCTCCATGTCTGAGATGCAAGGGAACAAAACTTGGGGTTACTTTTTGTTCTTTTTTCTCCTAGGTAAACTGGCATGCCCAGTATATCCAACAGAACTGGTGTTTGCCTTGGATACCTCTAGGACACTCACTTCTGAGACATTTGAAGTAATGCGAGAGATGATGATAGCGATAGTGAAGAATGCCAGAATCAGAGAGAGCAACTGCCCAGTGGGAGCCAGAGTTGCTGTTGTTTCCTACAACTCGGTTACCCACCACCTGATCCACTTCTCAGAGTTTCACAACAAGAATAAGCTACTGAATGCACTAAAAAATATTTCTTACCAAAGATCCTCCAGTGAACGAGACACTGGAGGTGCAATGAGATTCATTGCCAAGAACGTTTTCAAGAGAACTCTACAAGGTCCCAATGTGAGAAAAATAGCTGTGATTTTCAGCCACGGACCAGCTGCAGATGCATTTTCTGTTAAACAAGCTGTCCTGGAGATGAGTGCATTAGAAGTCATTCCAGTGGTTATTGCTTTTGAAGACACCCCCCATATCTCCCAAGCTTTCATGGTAAGAAAATTTTATGCCATGCATTTTATCACACTCCAAGAATGCAGAATTTCTGCTGGGATCTGTCAGCTGAGGATCTAGTGTAGACACAGATAAATGTGAAGTCTTTTGCTTGTTTCACAATAGTGCTGGGAAAATGGTTTTATCTCATTTTAGGGCTTAATTAGGAACAAGTCTATATGTGATTACCACAACCGGTGTGCATTAATTGCCTGCAGAGCATCCCTGCCCTCCCCATCCCAACCCCTGTCAAGTTTGTGCACTAAATTTATACTTCATCAACAGCAAGAAATCATGGAGCACTTACTTAGCGGTACTTAACTGTTGTCTTTTTCTTTATTTTTTTTTTTTTCTTAGATGGATGACTCTGGTTTGTTTCAGGTGCTAAATGTTCTTGCTGGACAGTTTAATGACACATTACAAAAATTTCAGCTATGCACTTTGTGCTATGGTAAGATCAATACAATATTTTGAATTGTCATTAAAGAAGAAATACAGTATTATTTAGAGTTAACCCTTACATAACCCTAGCAAAATTATTTGGCTTTGTTTCTTATTGATGTGTTGAATTCCTGAAGTAGAATCTCTTTCCAGTGAACATTATTTACTGACAACCAATCACCTGCATTGTCATAACTGCTACATATATTTCAAAGGAAAATACTTAAATTGGAAGAACATGTTTGTCTACCTTAAGCTTCATTAATGTAGTATTAAACATCTAAAGCTATTTCCTTACTCCTATCTTTCTGGGACCTTCTACCTAGGATGAGCACATGCTTTTCTTTCAGGTTATTTGAATCCTTGTCTGACCAGAATGCATGATTGAAAAGAACGTATTTACTTGAATTGCATCTTAAAAGCAAATGTCAATTAAATGTATCAGAGCAAGGCTACCAGTGTCCTTCAGCTTTAAACCCCTACATGACAAAGTTTACTAATCTTTAAGAAGCTGTAGCAGTGCTAATCAATGCTGTCTTCTGTGAAAAACCAGTATCTTCCCAGACTGATGAAGATGGGTAATAAGGCTACGGCCTACATCCTCCTCTCCTTCCTTTTCCTTATTCTTCAGAAGATCATTTTAATCACAATGTAAACCTGGAGAGTACCCCTATGTATTCCTACTGGGATATACAGTGGTCAGAAAGATAGATGAAGTATTAACAAGGAATATCTCATTTTGTGACTCCGCTAATGGTCTGATGTTCATGGCATGTGAAGTCCTCCACCTTCTTTATGATGTGTAGTGCAGCAGCTGTTAACCCACCTAACAGCTTGGGAGAAAGACTTGTTATTCTGCTGTAATCTGGGCAATATATTTGTATCTTCTCAGTCTGATTTACTTTTCATGGAAAGTAGTTCAAAAGATTATCAAATGTTTTAAAAGTCTGGACTGCAGTCATCTTGCAACTTTTGGAATATTGATCAACTTTGACTCCTGACCAGTCCTCAACAATTTGGTGAAGGTCACCAATATCTCACAGACTCTTTTCTGTGAGGAACGTCATTGTGCAAATTGACCCTTGTGCTTTCTGCAGTACTGGGAAAAATTGCAATTCTGAAAATGCCATGTTCTTTCTTTGACCCAAAATGCTTTTTCAAAAATCGTTGATTACTTCTCTTAGCGCTATAATATTTTAGGTTTCCTCAAAAAGCTTCCAACAGTTGTATTAGTTAGGGATAAAACGTCTATTTAAAGAGCCACATAAATACACTCTGAGATGTTGCCCAAATGATAAAAACTTGCTACTGTTGATGTGTGCAGTGATCTCTGTCATAACAAAAAATTTAAATACCTTACAATACATATTGAAGTAAACAGGAAAGGTTTTGGTTTATTGATTTTAATGGGAAGTGAGGACCTGATTTCACAATTTTTTTAAATCTTGCTTTTTTAAAACCAGTCCAAAAAAAGCCAGTTATAATGTAATTAACTTTATTCCTGTGATCTTGTTTTCTTTCAATGGGCAATAGAGTTCCAATTGTTTTTGCAGAATCTGGTGCATAATCATATGTTTTGTGTCAGCCTTTATTTTCCTACTGTGCATTGAGGTCTTTCTAGTAGTTTTGTTCTTTTTTTTCTTTTTTTTTTTGATTGGCCATTGTGACACTTTAGATCTGTGATGACATTCATTGTTACAAGTTTGCTTTTTGATTTTTTCAAAAAAACTTCAAATTAACTTTGTTCTTTTACAGATAAATGTAAGCCAGATGCTTTTTGTGAACGTCCCAGGCACCGTTTACCCAGAGCGTATGTGGATGCTGCCTTCATTCTGGATAGTTCACAGAAAATGAGTGGTGCTGAATTTGAGCAAGTGAAAGACTTCATGAGCAAAGCAGTCACTGCATTCAACATTTCCTTGGATCCAAAAACATCTGTTGTAGGGGATAGAATAGCTGTGGTGAGCCATGCACTACCAGATTTCAAAGGCACAGGAAGGAGGCCAGTGAAGAAAGAATTCGACTTTGTTACCTACCGCAGTAAAGACCGAATAAGAAGATATATTAAAGAATCTCTTCAACAGCTGAATGGAGAGGCTGCTGTCGGCTATGCCATACAATGGACAATTGCTAACATTTTCTCAGGGGCTCCTAATCCAAGGCTACGCAAAATTATCATCATTATATCTGCTGGAAAAACGAGTCAATGGGACAAAGGAGTGCTAAAAAAAATTTCCCTGCAAGCTAAGTGCCAAGGCTATGCACTGCTAGCAATTTCACTAGGAAAGTCCTATGACAGAAATGAACTGGAAGGGCTTGCAAGCACTCCTCTGGAACAGCATTTGGTTCAGCTTGGCAGAATCCACAAGCCTGAGCTTGACTATGTAATAAGGTTTCTGAAGCCATTCATACATTTCCTCAGAAGTAAGTTAACATGCCACAGGTCATGGTTTGTTTTGTTGGTTTTTTTTATTTCCAATTTTCAGTATTCTGCAAAAGCACTGAATGGATAAGATTGGGATGTACTCATGGATGCGCATTGCTGAGCAGGTTATATTCATTCTGCCTTCACAGAGGTATTCAGGCTCGTTCTTTGGGTAAAGTCAGGGTTTATATCCATCCTCCTTCATTCCAGGAGTCTTTATTTTTGTGACTGACATCTATAGAGTCTGTTGTTTCTATCAGTTTCACAAAGAGTTTAGCCAGAAACAGCTGGTGGAATGGATATGGCTTTGATGCTGAATGAAGCACTGCTAAGATTGCCATTGCCATGGAGCACAGCCACTTTTTCTCTGCCTAGAAATATCCCTGATTTTGAGAAATAAATATTTGGTTATAAAAATGTTCTTTTCAAAAGCACAAACACCATCAACTTTCTCATGCAGAGCACACTCACCAGATAGGTAAGGTTTTTCATTGCCTCTAGATTCCAGCATCACTGAGACTTGTGACTCCTAATAGGACAGAAATTCCTCAGTGCAGTTCTTTGAGCAACTTTGTCCTGATCATATATTGTATGTTCAGCCAGGAAAATGTATAGCTAAAGTGGAAAATCAGCCATCATCAGGGTTGTTTAAATACAGGCCAATGGAAAATGCAGGTGAGAACCGAGTTCAGAATTCATTTTATAATGTGTATATGGAAAACCTGCTACACTGCTGGGAGTTAGAAATAAAAATAGATTGTGGGGCTGAATGCTCTGTGCTGGAGTGAAATATTGACAAGTGCCCTGCTTCCATTAAGGATGAACTCCAGCCAACCTTCAGTGGGATCCAGGTACTTCTGCCTTATCACTCAGCTTTGGAAGCCCAAGACTTAACTATTTTGCTATTGTAAAAATATAAAATCTGTCAAATGAAAATGAGAACAGACTAATGATTGCCTGTATCATCTACAAAGTGTGTTAAATTGTGAATATAGGCCACATAAAAGGCATTGGACATTACGTTATTCTAGACTTCGTTAGTGGCTTTTAGCTAAAATGTCAGAACTTACTAAGGAAATAGATAAATATATTATATAGTATAAATATAATACATTCATCTAATGTTAAGTTTATTTAGGCCCTTCATTTTTTCTTTCAAGTTAATTGATGGGTGCAGAATTAGACCACCATAACATTCATCTCTCTCTATATAGTGTTTGCTATGTATATAAAATTAATGAAGTCAGATGATTTGCGGCTATACTTGATTAAAATACTAAGCTTTGCCAAAATCTTCTAAATCCCACAAAGCTAATGAATTTTGTTACTGTCTTCTGAACAGGTGAGAACAGCTATCCACCAGAAGAGCTCAAGGCAAAGTGTAGCAGCCTCCAATTTCAGAGCCAAAGACCTGTGTAAGTCTATTACGTAATTATTTAAATATTCGGGGGGTTAATGGTAAATAAGATTTGCTTTTGGAGCACTCTCCTTATTGGGTGTTTTCAGCAAGTTTTTTGTTTGATTGGTTAAAAGTCTGCTTCAGTAGCAAAGAATAGAACTGGACTGTAACAAACACATTAGAAATTGACAGCATCCCATGTTATGTTTTAAAACAAGCCTAAAATTGTTGTACAAAATTAATGACATACCCTTGTGTCATTTTTGTGTTTTAAACATACCTTTGTAGTCACCCAAAACCATACATTAAGCCCTTCTGAAACTTTCCAAGTGCCATAATACATTTTAATATTAAAATGGTACTATTTTGTTACATGAAGGCTTAAACATAATGAGAAAAGAGAAATCAAAACTTAGGAAATCAGTCACTGATGGCAGCCAGCTTCATGACTCCTCTTGCCAAAGGCATTGGTATCAAACTGCAAAGGGCTCACTTTCAATGCAGAGATTCCCTAGGCAACTGCTCAATAGGACACACAACGGCAAAGTGCTGCAGAAGGACTGCAAGGCCAGTGTTCAGGTCAGCAAAGGAAATGTGAAGACAATATGAAACATGAGAACTTTAAGCAATTGTCTTCAGGGTTGCTGGCATTACTACTGTATAGACCATAAGAATCTGTTATGAAGGCAGGCACATTGTCAGCTATTATCTACTTGTTAGTTCAGCTTTAGCATGAGCCTGGTGAAGAATCTGAATTCTTGGGTTAGAAAAAAATGGTGATAATAATGAGCAAAATTAAAGCTTTTTAAATCCTTCCCTCCTACTCTTATGTTTAGAAACACCATCTTTCATTTGCAGTCACTCCGTTCTGAAGTTTCTCTAGCAGCAGTTCACATATACATTACTTTGGATCATGGCTGATAATAGCGGAATCATTGACTTGTAACAATCAACTTTGTTTCTTATTCTCACTAAGGTCTGTGTTTTTCTTGAGAGCTATGTGTACATACTTCTGCACTTCTGTGCACTGTGCAAAATAATTTCTAACCTTCACTCACATTTTTTTACCTATATATCGATCAGGTTTTAAGACTTTTTTTTTGAAGAAGTTTTTCAAGAGAAGTGACTGCACACAGTCATGAAAGACAGCATTGTTCTGATACCAAGAGAAAACATGTATTTTCTTGTTCTGTGTATAAAGCAGTGGCAGTTCTCTTACATGGCATCTTTTAAGGGGGGAGGAGGGCAGGAGGAACACCACACCAGCTAAAAATTTATGCTTTTTTCAGCCTATTAAACTGTAATCTCAGCCTGTTTGTGTTTCTGTTATAATTAGGCATTCAGTTCTGTCAACAGTCTTGAGCAATTTTCTGTAAAAATTCACTTCCCTTCTGATTTAGAAGGAGCTACCTGTGTATATTTTATCACTACACATCCTGATTGTGTCCTGTGTTTATCTGTAGCTTTTAAACAGAAGAGACGTCTGCAGACCATGTCACCATAGAGGCTTCTTCATTCACTCCTCCCTGGTACTCAAGAGGACTATTGCAGGCTGATGGAAAATACACTTCTTTAATAACAAGAGTTTTCACCAAGAAGAAACAAAACTGGAGTAACTAGAAATTTAAGGCACAGTTTTCAGAAATGTGAAGCCCTTCAGCCCAGCTAGAAGATGGTGGGGTCTGTGAGTGGAAGTAGAATCTGCATTTGAAAAAAAAAAGCAAGAAGGGAAAATAGTAAATACACCAACTAGCCTTAGATGGATCTGAATTCATCCTTACAATACCAAGTGGAAGGAGGAGGATCTCTTCTCCAACTTTGTCCTTGTTTCAAGCTGGTCTTTTCATTACTTTTCTCTTTCTCTATTTGCAAGTGAATGATTCATGTAAACCTCTGTACATTTTCTGACAGAACCCTCTCTGAGGGGGATGAAAAGCCCAATGCTTTCTCTATGCACCTGCTGTGTCTTCCCAGCTAGCTATTTAAGCATAGAGTTGTGTTTTGATTTATCTCAGCTCCATGCTGCTTTCAAGATTTAAGTGAATACAAACTGAACTGCAGAGTAGGTATCAAAATAGCCAGTAGGTGCTTAGCTAAAAGGAACAGATCTTGTTGTGGAGAAAAATCCTGCAAATCATTCTTAACTTTCTTGAATTGAGTTTCCTGAGAAGAGGTTTCAGGTTTTTGCAATCAATTGCTAAATCATGCTTCATAATTTTTTCCTGAATTCTTTCTAGCTTTCATATCCTTCCTGAGGTGTGAATACCAACCACAGGTACCATGTTTTAGGGAGAAAATCGTCAGTACCATGAAGGGACAAAATAGCTTTCCCATGCACGTTTCTGCTCTTCATTATTTCTCAAGAATGCATCAGAGTTTGTGGAAATTATGATCTGATGATATGTCTTTTGAAAATTGCTATATGAGAAGTTATTTTTCACAGTATCTGCTATAAAAATGACAATGAATGCAGGGACACTTGGTCAGTGGGAAGCCAGAAGGCAAGGATTTCAGATCCTTCAGAGAAAGATTTAGAGTATATCAGACTATATCAGATAAATTGCAGATGGAGTTCATGGATTCTCCACTTTCCATATCCTTAGCTTTTTCATTTTTCCTTTTCTCTTGCATCCTTAAAGGGAAAAGTGGGTTGAGTTTCATTTTTAGGGACAACAGTGCTTCACAATGATGAGCAATGTTTTATTCCCATTTATCTCCATCACTTGATCCTACAGGAGCACTCACTGAGTCTATGGGCTCCATCAAGCATATGAGTTGTGAAGAGATTTCCTCAATGAGATACTTGCTGTCTTAAACACAATGAGCATGTGGAAGATGGGGAGCAATAACTGAAGAAATAAATTTCTGTCTTCATAAGGAGATCCTGCTACGTTGCAGGATTTCAGTTTGTCTTGATGGCTTTGCTATAACGTGTATATACTTTCTTATTAAAATGTTCTGCACAAAAAAGCATCCATAGAACAGTTTATTTCAGATGAAAGAGAGCTGAAAAGTAAAAATTAAATTTGGTATCTTTGTAGGATAGCAAGCGTATATCCCGTTTGCAATTTACAGCATCATTCATGCCTCAAAAGATGGAACCAAGAGGTGCAAGAAACTGGGAAATGTGAGAGTAGAGTGCAAGAAAAAAAGAGTTTTCTTTATCTTCGAAGAATCCTTGCAAGGAGCTAGGCCATAATGGAGTTCTGATACAGAAAAACAGAAAATATTTGTAAAGAGAGAACACATCTGTGGCATTTGAATTATGTAATTTCAAGTCATCATAAAAATGAAAAACATGAGGACTGCTCAAAGGCTGCACGTTTCATAAAGCCTCAGATAATTATTTTAATAAATTAACAGCTAGAAATGAGCATGTGCCATAGCTCTTTACAGTTTCTTAATTACAGTATGTCCGACACAGAATATCAGCTTCTTTTTATAGATAAAGCTAAAAATCTCAGGAAAATAAGGAGTCCATTCTGATATCATTAAAATAGCCAATTACTTCACACATTACATTCTTTAATTTGGAATTGTGCTGTGCCAAATATGACATGGAAGAATGATTTTTAAATTGTGCTCTGAAACAAAAAAAATACTTTAACAATAGTAGTATGGCCAGTAGAAATACCTTAGATATGTCATATGTCTATAATAATGGCTTTCTTGCTGGTCTAAACTTCTCTTAAAAATTAGTTACTGAACCTATGTTACAAAAGGAGTCTAATATTAAATTCATAGAAGATACTCTTTATGTTATTTCTCTAACCCAGTTCACAAGCTGAGAGTATTCCCTGCTTCCAGCAGACACTCTGTAGAGTAGTACACTGACATTGCTACCAATTACATTCAACGAATGTACATCAAATTAGTGCTGTTTGATGTCAGAAAATCACCTGGTTTAGGGGTAAATAACCTTCTGTTCCTGTAAAGCAGAACCTGGAAATGCAGCTAAGGAATAAGTTACCTCATAACATAAAGCTTAAGACAGGAAGACTGAACAGGATTTGGAAATCTGAAAATCTGGATCAGACAGTGGAAGAGTGGTGTGAAAGTTTACTGCCACTGTCTGACCTCCAGAACTGCCTCTTACATGAACCTTGTGTGATGAAACAATGTTTCCTCCTGAAAGCTTGTATTTTGGCTATTTCTGATATCCCTACCAAATGGCAGAGAACATTATCTTGGTGGTGCTGCTTTAGGTTCCCGGGACAGCAGAGCTCAACATTAGACTCAAGTTTAAAGCAAGCTGTCTGCAAGGCACAAAGTACAGTTGAGGATTGATACGAGGTTATGCTGATCTTGAAGTACAATTAAGAGGCCAATGGCTCTGGCAGCTGAGACCACAGAATCACTGCAGAGGAAAAAATGGATATAAAGATACACAAGTACCAAACAGGGAAGCTCAAGTGGACTTTATTATAGGTATTAGAGTGTACAGGGACATTAGTGCACTGGTTCTTATTTCATTTCTCAGATTCAACATAGGAGCAGTTGTTGGACACGGAAGTACTTGTACCAGCTCTTTTTGCACATTTAGAATGTGTAATGTGGAACATCTTTAAGAAAATTATTTAAAGATCCTTAGAGAACAATGTAGTCAAAACCAGGCTAAGTGATATCTTCATAGACTGCTTGGTATTTCACGGAAATGCTATAGATACCAAACATCTTCAATAAAAGAAGTGATTAAGAAGTGCTAACAGGGTGGTAGGATACAGATAACCAATTTTATCATTGTCTTTAAAGTCCATTCTATTCCATGATCTGGAATCAGTCCTTGAAAACTTCATTATAACACTATTTCTTTATTACAAATATTTACATACTATATATTAATACAACTTTTATTTCCACACTTTAACGATTCCATCCCTTGATGCAGTTACTATAAACCCTTGCGTGGTCTGGAAAGTTGCGATATCTGTGATAATATCGTGATGTCCAACAGGGAGAGACTCTGGACCCTTTCGAGGGGTCTCATCAGTGGGCCCCAGTTTTTGCTTGTTTGGAATTTCCTGTGTAAAAACAAAGTGAGACACTTTATTTACAGAAACATGAGCATTTGCAAAGGGGAACTGTCACACATATTAGGTTGTCAGTGTAAAAAGAGCAAAAAACCTCATAAAACAAACACAAAACCCAAACACAAAACCTCCCAGCCTTTGATAGTTTTCTTAGGATTATTCCTTGGTTCATTTCTTTTCATCACAAACAATCCAAGTCTTAATGTGAACTGACATTACAGCTCTCTGATCAGGGGAAAAAAAAAATCTTGTATTTATTTCAATGACACTAACTACTAAGGTATGATATTCCTATGGAGGGGTAAAAAGCTACAGCAATACATACTTTTTAGCTCCCCAACAGTTTTATAAAAAATGGTTCAATAGTATTAATGTAATTGTTTAAGAACTTAAGATGAAATACTAAAATATCACAGTGCATAGGTAGACCCTCACTGACTTTTGTTTTCCAGACACTTTTGAAGTAGCATTAATTCAACTGAACTTAAACAAAACATTGTTCTACTGAACAACTATAGCAGTACTTCCAGTTCCAAAAGTCACTCTGAAGGATGTAATAAAAGCTGCAGAGTCTGCTGCCATATTATTTTGGTGCCAATACATCTCATTTCCTTGCTAAGATCCTACACAAAAGATATTCCAAAGACTGATGAAAGTCAAAGGTGTAAAAACACTAGATTTTAATATCCCCAAAGAAACATATGATTCTGGCTTTTGCGTGTAAGTAGCATCTGGTAAGTCCAATTTTGTCAAAAACAACTGATTTATTTTTAATAACTTCTTCCTAACTGCCTGAAAATCCAATGCTGAGACCATCCATGAAAAGTAAGAGTGAGACAGTTAATATTAAAGTCACCATGTAGTTAATATAACCCATGGGGTCATCCAGAAGTCAAGCAGAATAGGTGTCTATCAAACAAAGAAAAATACCTGAACCACCTCCGTGCCCTCAATTATCTTCCTGTAGTAGGAAATAGATGGGCAACTAGAACTTCCGGCAACAACATACGATCTCTCAGGGTAGGCTAGATCCCAGAACCTAAACACAAAGAAACAAAATTAAGGTGAGATGTTCAATTCTATCAGCTACTTTAACAGCTATTTAGAAGCTGTCCTGGTCTTATGATGACAATGAGTGGGCACAAATGCTAGATGCGTTCTACACTTACTGGAGGAGAGTGATGCAGAGAAATCAAGACTTGTATCAAGCTTGCACGTGAGTTATTGTTTTGTTTCTTGTCATGCAGCCTACCAGGAACTTTACAGAAGGGTACATGTTGTGTTTCAAACTTTTGCTGAGAACAATTCTCTCAGCTCACTGATGCTTACTAATGAACACATCTTCAGCATTATTATTTTGACTTCTTGGAATCTACTTAGGCAATGCTTGGCAAAATTCAGTACACCAGCAGGGGTGGAGAGGAGGGTGTCAAAACAAAAAGACTTGTTAGTTTTATTACCTTATTTTCATGTCTGAGCCTGCTGTCAGTAATATGGGATTACCAGATGCTGGACTACAGTATATTCCATGGATGCTGTCAGGAGAGGGCTGAAGGAAAAAGGATATGTAAAAATAAACTACCACCAACAGCTGTTGCTATGCTTCCAAAGGGGAATGCATTCTTTCCCACACTCATCCACCTAATTTCCAAATCTTTCTGACAGATGCCAAGTTACTTTAATGGGCCACATCTTAATATATTAAGGTAAATTAATTAAATCCAGTATAAATTGGGGAATGACCTGTTGG